AGGTCATAGGTGCTGCAAAAAATCACGTTTGTAGACGAGCGAAAGCGAATGTCTTTAATAATGGTGGGTTGCAAATAAAAGCAGTGACACACCGGGATGTACGATTTCTCTCCGTGCAATTGCAAGCGCGGATTTACGCCTGCGGTGTTTGATGCTATCTTATTCGATAAAGGCACAAGATATATTTAATGCCAAGATATTTTCTATAATCACACAAAATAAAAAAAAGTGCCTTATGGTATTTTTTATTTATCGACGCAAGTCAGGAAGAAAAATTATTATTTAGAGGAAGAGGAGGTGATATTATTGCTCCCTATTTACATTTTGTACAATAACTTTGTTAATAATCAATATTTTAACATGAAATATTTGGATTATATTGGTCAAAGTATTATTCAATCGATTCTAGACTCAAAGTTGTAAAATATTTATTATTTTGAACATTATTTATAAATAAATATTATACATTATAATAAATATATAGCGATATTGCAAAATGGGTCAAATAAAAACAACGGTGATAATGTAGCCCTTAATTAAAATAGATTTAAAAAATTAGTTTTGTTTTAAAAAAAACAATGTTTTGTTAAAACTGTATATATTTATTCAAAATAAACTGTTGGAAAGAACAGCAAATAATATAACTGTGAACTTATAATGTAGATACTAACTTGTTTCTCAGAAAGTAGATACACACTTGTTAAAAGAACAGTTTTTACAAGAAAAATAGACTTTTAAACTTAACTTGAATTATTGATTTATCAAATAATTATTTCGACATGAAAACGAAAAACAGATCGTATTAAATTTGTTTTTATTTACAATTAATAATGAACGTTCGATGACTAAACAATCTAATAGTTTCGCTGAAATCAAATTATGCGAATAAAAATTCAGCGTTCTTTACATACAGAAATTCAAAAAATAATAATAATGTGATTTTAATAGCTTTAAAATGCTGTACAACTTCTTTGAAGCTATTATAGAAAATTATGAATTTTTCTAAGTTGTTTTTGAATATATAATAATATTATTGTTTTATGAGTTTGTATTGCCGTAAAGAAATAATTAAGGAAATAATTATTACCTGATACGAAGGAGTGGAGTAAAGTGAAAAGAATTGCTTTCCATTTACCTACTTTTTCCACCGGGCAATATTAAGATTAATAATGATTTATTGCCTGTGACAACGCAACAGTCACCTTTATGTAGCATATTTCCAGAGACAATACTCCTCAGGACATATTTCATGATGAATGTAGCGGTCAGCATCCTTGACAATGATCAAAGGGATATACTCGTGTAACTGTACATCTTGATTTAAGGACATTAGCCTTTTGCAGAAAGTTCAATCTGTACCAACGTTCTGCGCAATTTGCTATCTCCTATATCCTTCAAGGATTTATCAAATAAATACGTACAATGTTTCGAAAAAAAAAATCTGAATACACAAACCACAAAGGAAATCGGAAACAAATCTATATAAACTTTTTACACGAATTATAATATTCATTTTTTAATCTTGACCAAAACTTTGAAAAGGATCATATTATCGTAACAATACAATTACGCTGCACTGTAACTATTTGGTTCTTATAACCAAAAATTCTGTTTCCTTCACCTAAAACGCGTTTGATTGTCTATTTTTAGATTGATATTTAAATTAGATATTGATCGAACCAAATTGGTTTTTCAGTATAGGAAATCACTTGGCATAATGTGATCATATCAACCGCCACAAACTCATGATTTAAAATGAGGCAGCCGATGATACGACATGTTAGAATATGTTCACTCGTTATGCTCTTTTCAGCTTTCCATTTCAACTTGTACCAGTGTATCTGGTCCTTATGTGCAATGTGATGAAGAAATAAACCTTTGTAATCTTCTCATACGAACTCTATCATCTCCTGGATGACGACGTGGCTATTTCCATGAGCAATTTTGTGCCTATCAGGATATAATTACATTATCTAAAGAAAGTTAATGAATATACATTTTCATGGATATACTGACAAAGATGAATGAAAGTCTCAACCATTCCTGGAAAATTGATTATCAATGTATATCGGGTTGTTTAAAGTCCGGTTTAATTTATAATTAAATTACACAACGAGATATCTCATGTTAACCTTAGAATACAAACGTGCGTCTTCGAGACGTAAATATTTTTTGCGAATCCCCCTCTCTCTTTTCTTCTACACCCCACCTTCCGACTTGTCTTATATTAAAAAAAAAAAAAAATAATTTGTATAATGTATGTCACATTACTTTTAATATGTATGTCACATTAAAATCTTTGAGTTTTCTTTTTTAATCACTACACATTTTTCCAAAACAAAGTTAGAAGCATAAGCGCCGAATATAGAGAATGAGGAGTTAGTATTTTAAGGTTAAAATAAATATTTTCTATTCCAGAAATAAACTTCCTAGTTTATTTATCAAAGCGAATATTTCGACATACACGGAAATACACACAAAAATATAATGTTCACTTTTACTCGGAGCTGAAGCGTTCGTACTCGCGAGCGAGATGTCGTAAAAAGGAGTAGAGTAAGTCAAAACAATATGGATAATTATGCGCACACATACACATATACATGACATATACATAACCTGTTTGCATTTGTTATAGACGAGAGCGATCGCGGTAAAAAAACCAAACGTCATATCTTCTCGGGCTTCGCATCCTTCTTTCAAGACACAAACACTGTTATTGTCCACTGTCGGCTAAGTCTACTCTACGTCATTTCGATAGCTGTGATACAATCGCGCTTCGTTTACCTGGTACCGGCGTGAGGTAGATGATGGTCGCGACCACAGAACCCAGACCGACGAAAATCCCAAACCTGAAGAGCATCTTCGCGTCCGTCGCTCGACAGATTCCCAGGTTCGAAAGTCGAGGTTGTCGGAACACGATCACGAGGTGCGAGAGCGTGGAAAAGCGAGGCTTGGAGAGTGACTGGCCGGTGTCGTAGTCGCGAACACACTAGCACCGCTCAACAAGTTCATTGCCAGGGAGAGAGTCGATTCCCGATTAAAAGAAAGATCTTTCGAATGCGGAAGCCGTGTCCCGTTTACGGCCCGGGCTGGCATAATATTCCTCGTGATATCTGTTAATCACCGGGCAAATGGTGCATCCTGCGACCCCATTAAAATCTCCTTCGATAATATGGATGAAAATTTCCAATTTCGTATCAATCGTAAAGATTGAACTTCTCGTTATTTTTTGCTGCAATTATTGAATATATACGTGATCTTTAGTAGAAAATATATAAAATAAATGAGTAAGACAAAAATAAGTGAAACTTGAGAGAATTGCGCTGTGTTTTGTGCGTAATATAAACATTAAGAAATTGCCGTAAGTAGTGCGATTTTTATCTTCAATGCATCGAAGCGCCGCTTCGACTCATCTCAACTCTCGCCCGCATTACCTAGTTCTTGAACGTTATAAATTTATGTATAACCTTTTCTCCTAATTTCTCTATATATTATCTATATGCCGATGCTTATCAATGCATGAATAATGTATAATTGCAACACGCAACGCTTCCTACGAAACTTTCTTATTCTGAATTAACGGTGAATATTAACGGTGAGAATTATAATGATGCAGATTAAGTGAATATTCTATTTGTAAAAATTGTTGTCAAGTATGTGTTGTCAAGTAAAGGTAGGACAAATAATGTCGTGAAATGAAGAAATCGGTTTAAAATAACATGATTAATTCGTGACTTCTTTAACATATATGTATATTATTCATCATCTTTTCAGATATGATATTTGCCAGTCGTCTCCTATTGATAATAAAATCACAATCGGATACTGAAACAGCAAGTATATTGGCTCCTATAACTTTTGGAAAGCTATTCATTGCTTCAAAACCTGCCTAAACTTCTCGAATATTGTCTCTTGTTGGCCATTTAATAAATGTTGGTGCTAAATCTGCAAGAATCTTAGTGATTCACCGTGTTGTCATGAAAGCAGTTGTTCGATTCACATCGAACTTTTCACATATTGATTTAGGACAGAAAATACTCATGATTAAAACATGCAACACTTTAGTAGGCCTTATTAGAAAGTAAATGATATACTAACTTATAAAAATCTGGTACAATCATGCTCCAAATAGAAAATTATTTTTTTTGAGAAATCATGTCTAATCTTGAATAGCATCTTTTCAATTTTGGAGCAATTATTGAGAGTAAAAAGTCGAAAGTGTTTCTGGAAATCCTGTAAAAACTGCTTTGGAAGCAAAATCATACGTATAGTTCATTTATGATGAGTGATATAAATATTTCAAAATACGTATGGTGCTTCTTTATGTCATCAGAAACAAACTGATATATAATTATATATAATTATATGTAAGGCGTCATATAAAGAATATATGAATATATAAAAATATATAATTATATATGAAGTGGTACAGTTACATGTATTATTATATGCAAATATATATAAATATGTAATGAGTTATATCTGATTATATATAGATATATGTTAATATATAATTATATATGAAATATTTTTTTTGCAGTTTCAAAAAATCGTGCGAATTATTTGAATAAATATTCTGTACATGTATTTATCTTCTACACATACATTTGTACATTGTTAAAAGATTATTATAATTGTCGCATTCAACAGAATCATTATTGACAATTGGTACAACTTGGAGATTTTGACTGGCGTATATTTTCAAATTTAGCCATCCAATCAATCTTCCTTTGTCACATGACACATGTGAAAGGCTTATGATAAGAGGTCTGTTCATTTTCGCTGCACCGCTGAACCAGTGCAATAAGTTGAAACGAGACAAGTATATGTTTTCTCACTACAACTTATTGCTAGTTCAGTGGTGCAGAGAAAACGAACAGACCTAAGATGTGTATTTAATATTCGTTACCTTCTGAGATACTTTGCAATCTTTCTATATCGTTCTCTTTTTCAATAGGTATGAAATATATATCTCATTTTAAGTGTAGACAGTGCAACTTCGTGTAGCTATAAAGATCAGAAGTTAAGAAGTATGATGGCGACCCGCTGTGTAAAGTACGGTGATATAATAGTGATTAGTCGAAGACGCACGTTTAAAAGAATATTTTTAATATGAATGAAGTTACGAGCGAAAACTTTAAAGAGATATATCCACAATTGGAACGTACATTGAAGGACGCGAGTTTCATAGCGATTGATACAGAACTTTCAGGTATCGATGCTGACAATATAAGAAATAGGTTAGTCTGTGTTCCCTTAAATGCTTTTACATACTCAAGTAATACAAGAAATGTCAGTGTTACTTTGTGTAATTTGTTCGTATGTTGGCAGTTTGTTCGATTCCATTGAGGAACGATATAACAAAAACAAGAATATTATCCAACCGTACATAATAGTGCAGTTTGGTATTACTGCATTCCAACGACAACATGATAAAAATGAATATAGTGCAAAAATCTTCAATTTCTTTCTGTTCCCAAGATTTATTCCATCGAAAAATAGGCAATTTCTATGGAACGTATCGGCATTGGAGTTTCTGGCTACGCATAAGTTTGATTTCAACAAGGTACATCACATTCCTCATGGATCAATATACGTTTTAGAAGCAGAATCATAATATAGTTATAGTGATCAAATGGTACAAATATTTCAAAGTACGTGCGGTGTTTCATTATGTTATCGGGAACAAACTGATTACATGTGTCATAAAACCGCAGCTTGTGTATCATGGTATTTCTTACCTTGATGAGAAGGACCAAGAAATCCTACAGCAACAAGTACAACAGGGCTCGTTGTGTCGCAACATAGAACAACATTTATCCTCTAAGGAAGAGGATGACCTCAAGGATTACATTAATGAAGTAGCACAATGGTTAAACACTGCTGGTGAAGAAACTAGTTCGTTTAAGATCAATACCTGTACTCCAAGCTTGCAGTATCTCATACATAAGGAATTGAGACGACGTTTTCCGCATATTTGGACTCTCTCGGGGAATAATTCGGTACATTAGCGATTCTGTTTTCCGTCGAGCGAGTTCAAGTTTTCTTTAAGTTTTCAGTTTCATAATTTTTCAGATAACTGTGATGAAAGTGCAATCAGATGTAAGAACAATTTTGGAAAAGGAAGAAGGTCCCATTCTGGAGAATGCATTGCTGGAATCATATATAGGCTTTTCAAAAGTGTTCAATCTCTTGGTTATTCTGAAAAAACCTATAGTGGGGCATAATGCTTTGTTTGATTTAATGTTTATGTATCAACAATTTTATAGGCCTTTACCACGTATGTATAATTATATAGAAATAAAAAAACAATTCTTTGCTACTTCAACATTCATATTCTTAATGTGTAATAAACAATTGTTAAAATCCATGATAAATCGCAAATGTACTCTCTTCCCAGGAAAATATATTGATTTCAAGAATAGCATACATAAACTGTTTCCAACAATTTATGACACGAAATTTTTAAGCTTTGAACTGAGGGAGCTTCTTCATCCAGAAGGTAATTCCTCATACATGTGTTTATATGATTTGTAATATTTTAAATATTTCTTTGTTTTCTCAGAAAAGTGGAAGATTAATTCACTGGAAGGCCTGTTTGATCATTTCACACCTCAAGGAAAAAAAAACTTGATATTGGGTTCACCCTCTATTCAACTCCTTAATGAAATTGAGTCAAATAACTCGGATGGTGAATATTTCTTTCTTATCCGTATCGTCGACTTTGTAATGTTATTGTTATCATGAGAGCATTGAAGAACTTTGCATTTTTCAGTTATTGCAAGTTCTATAAGATATCACACTGCAGGCTGGGATGCTTATGTTACGGGTTACATATTTATAAAAATGGCATATGTAATAGCCATAAAGCGTTCTAATTGGTAAGTTCTACATTACGTTTACAATCGAAAGATAATTATTTATTTGTAATCTTAGTTAACCTTCAAATAACAAGGTTTATATGGATCGAATCCGACCTATAGAAGCATTTTGTAAATTCAACAAATTTTTTCGATCAGGCACTTTTTATTCTCGCGATAAGTTAGGAAATATTTAAAAGTAAATAAAATATATCGTAAAATATATAAAATACCTGACTGTAACGCTTTACAAGTGTGTTCGTGAAAGCATTAGAATATGGATTCGATTGGATCTGATCAATTTTGTTATCTGAAGGTTAACATACATAAGTGTATATGTTGTAATCTATATAACGCTTATAGTCGTAACGATGATAATATGAAAAAACACTTCATCTTTGGATTCTAGCAACTTCTTATTGAAGTACTATACGCACACAGAATTAATGAATGATATTAAAAGTTTTGCAAATTGCATAAATATCGTTCGTGGCAACACCTCACATTTGGTAAGAAGAATACGAGACATATAATCTTAACATCAAATTAAACGTATTACATAATCGAAGGTACGCTGTGTTTTTTGTAAAAATAAAAATATGTATTTCCCAGAGACTTGACAGACCCGAGCCTGTATCGACTCGACCAGAGTGGCTTTATGTGAAAGCGTTGACTTCGGAAGTGATAACCGAAACGCAGGTATTATATTTAATTATCGTAGTCAACACTTTAATATACGATAGTATCGGAAAGTAAAGCATTTACATATATCAACGCGACACATGTGTATAACAAATAATGTTTAATCAGTCCCTGTATTCCCATGAAATTTTTGTGCAGATATATGAACAAATGTCGAAATTCGGCGCCATTGACGTGAAGAGACTCGCATCGAAGCGCATGTTAGTCGCGGTAGGAAATTACGGAAGGTTAGTAATCTATATCTGTCTTATCGAATCCTTTCCTTATTCAGTCTCATCGACATCCTCGCACATTCTATATCGATATCTACAATATATTTAGCATACAATCAACGACACTATATACAGTGCAAATTTAAAGTGGAAATTAACTGCGGTTTAACATTTCTATCTGCGTCACACGCGGGTATACATTGACAGCGAGTATACTCAGAGAACAAATGCTTTCGCGTTTCATTCTTTAGAGCAATCATTATTGAACTGACCACCGCAACAACGAAGATATTCAGTATAAACGATATTGACAAACTCGATCTTAATCGGACGCGAACTTTTCCAAGCAATTGTTTCTTTTAATTCGAGAACTGATGAGCGGTAGTTTCTGGATAGAAAACAATAGTAGCGATACGCGATGAGGGAGACGACGGCTGATTGGTTACATCGAAAGTATCGTGACACATAATTTTCCCATTAACAACCGCGATGACTTCGAAATAACGAGGAATTGCTAAACATCACGATTACACAAACTTCATGCACACGATAAGTAGGACGCGATCTTATATGTTGAGAAAGCGATTGCTGCCAACTGCGTCCGCGCTTTTGTGAGACGTCTGTGAAATACCATAACCGCGTTTTGTGCATCGACGCGGTCGCGACATCACGCGGTTACGCAAATCAAACGGTCGCGTAACAAGCCGCGGAACAATTTCATCCTCTTCCTCGATACCGCGATCTACCACACCGAGCAAATGCAATTAGATATCGAGTGCGTGGCTGGTAATTTATAATAGTATGAAGCTACTTCGGTGCAAGGTGGCGGAACTATTTTGGACACTTCCAAGGGCAGCCGCGGCATACTCGCCGACGTGTCGCACAAATCGCGACATTAGTTACGTGCGTTTTTACCCACACAGTTTACGATTACATTGTGTTCCGGGCGCGTCACGTCGCGACACGTCGGTCCCGGCGAATCGCGTAACACACACGTCCGCCTGTAGTTTATTTCTCCGATCCGCTGCAAGCGATCGATCGACTGCGTTTGTCTGGTACAGATGATCTAAAAACATAAACCGCCGCCCGTCGAATATCGCAATTCACTGAATTCGCTTGTTTTTCGGAGAGCGTGCACTGGCATGTCGTGCTGAGATGACGAACGCGTTAAGTGCCTCGTATACCGCGGTAATTTCAACGCCGCGGGTGTCCCGCGTAAAACGCATCTTGTATTGCCAGTTCTCATTGATGAGGCGGGATGATACTTGGTGTCCCGTAAAAAGATGAAAGTGATCCAATCTGATGGTAACTCACTCGATAAATTACGGCCAATTTTCCAGTAAGTAATTTAAGGTGTAACGGATGTGGTACGATCTAAATCTTTATATTTCATACCATCGTACCTTACAAGTTTACAGCATTTTCATTTATTACGTTACTGTTTTAGCGACTAGATTCTGATATATAATGGAACATTTTTTATATAAAGAACAAAAAAACAAAAGTGAAAACACTTAAAACTTTAATATCCCCGAAGGACCATAAATATTTTCCTTTCTTCCTGAAAGATCAGATTATTTACACACAGATGTACATTTGATAAGAATATGTTAGTACGGAAAACACAAAATACTGCTTGTTTGTGCATGAAACTATCAAAAACAGCATTCTTGCTCCGTGATCATTTTCTAAATCACTGAGATATCTTCCCCACTCCTGCATATCCGAAAATAAGAAAAGAAGAAGCGAGAAACGAGTCACTTGGAAGACTCATCCGTGCGTATATACTTAAATCGGCAGATAGATCTCTCGCATATATGGATGCTGCTGATACATTTCCATGACGGAGATTTTCCGAATATATCCGTATGCCAGATAATCGCACAACTCGTGCCGTCACATTGTACGCGTAAGATTTTCTCCGTCATTGGCACCGTTCCCATCTCCGTGTCGCTTTTACCAACGAACTTTTGCGGATATATTTACAGAGCTTATTAAAAGATCGCCGCAGTCTACACACCGGCGTGTGTACATTATTATTAACAATCTATTATTACACCCGCCAGTGGTGACCACACGTGTGCAACTTTTGTCACGCGAAATTGGCTTAACGCTTTATTACGTTTATCTCGTCGAGCGGAACGATTGAGATCGTCGGATGGTGCGTCTTCGTCTGCATGCGACGCAATAATCAACGATTTCCCTTCGTTTTTTTGCAGTGCCCGGGACATATTGCATTGCTTCAAACAAAATAAGGGACTGTACGTAGCCCCTTACAGTGCGATACGTCACTCACCTTCCGTTCAACTTGCTCTATGGTACGTATAAAATAAAGGGAAAAAGTAACAATTTATTTGCAAATGATCAACGACGATCGCTTATCGGTAATCTGGCACGGGTTTCCGGAGCAAATCGTTCACCGAAATTAAATTCGCGAAAGGAACGCCCCAGTTCGTTTAAACTTGTCCGAAATAACTCACTGATTTATTTCTGTCCCGCTATTTGTAAACCGCAGCACTTGAGTTCGGAAGAGAGATTCAATTGTTGCCTCTTACATTGTCTCACGGTTCTGCCTTCGTCAATTGCACCATTGTTATAGAGAGAGAAAGAGAGAGAAAGTCTCGGAACTTCTTTCATCTGCGAATTCCTCGGTTCACTTAAACTCCATTTTCTCTTAATCAATATTTTCAAGGATATTTCTTCATTCCCGTCTCCGTTAGGATTTTCATATTCATTCAAATAACATTGCTAGCATAATATATGCTCAATTTTGATTTGCTATCTCATTTTTAAATGCTAATGGCGAGTGTACAGCAGCTAGATTATATATTTTATAATAGACAGCGCCATTTATTCTATCATATTTGATTTATAATGGCTAGATCGATTCTATATTTTACTTTACATTTGATTTTAATGAATTCTTAATCAGTAACGAATTAGCAACGAGAAGAAAATTTAGCCTGTATTAGCTAGCTATCCGGTAAACATCAACTAACAGTAACATTACAATAATGTTATTATATAATTTCCCATTCAACATTACTACTATTATATTCAATGTATGTTATATTGCAATTATATTGTTGAGAGAGAAATTATAACATTGATGTAATGTTACTTTTAGTCGGTGCTTACTTTTGACTCAGGCCGACTGAATGCATTTCTATTCGGGCAACAGTGTTAAGATATAATGTTTCACCCTTTCTCCTAACACATGATTTCATGTGGAAGGTCCTTCAATCAACCACCTAGACGTCCAACATCACGGGCAAAAAGTTGGCGTGCAATCGGATATTCGTCGGAGCGAAATCGATCGAAGGATCCGCAGGTGCAGCGGCGCGCAACAGTTCTGGGCGGTCTCATGTGGTGCGGTTACCACCGATTTCGAAGCACCTTGCGGTGTCGTAATCGAGGTTTTAATCGGCGGTTGATGCGGCCGATCCAATCCGTATTAGCGGTTGTCGCCGAGCGCATTACGTCAGGCAAATTAATGACTCTGGACGAGCCGAAGCCGTGTTCGCAAAGTCTCTAATTAGCGCCGACATTGCCGTAGATGCAGAAGCCACGAATCACGTTGCCAATTGTTGCGAAGGCATTATGACGACGTACGGCCGGCCGTTGCATTATCTAACATTCGGGTGAAAGACTCAAGACTCGGAGACATGTCCGTCCTCCTCCCGCCGCCCGTCGATTCTAGCCATCTTTCCTCGGCTGTCTTGATTCATACATCGATATATCAATCCGCCCGCTCGTCTCGAACGCGATGAAAATGCTATAATTAGGTCGCCCGTCTACATGCGTTGCATATTGCATACGTATGTGTGCACGCCCCGTATAACCGTGAATTCGCGACTCACTTTCACTCTCTCTCTCTCTCTCTCTATCGATCTATCTATCTATCTATCTCTCCGGCATCGGTGACTTACGCGATTTTTCTCGATCTCCGTTTTTAGAATCCGTCCAGTTTTAGACCTTTCCTCGTGTGAAAACGCTCGCGCAACTTTTTTCTCAGATCTGTCGACACGGCTCTACTTTTGACGAGGGAAGGAGTACCATTGACGTAGAGTCTTTTTAAAACGGTTGCTTTTTAGTCGCGGAAATGTCGTTTAAAAAATACAAATATCTTACAGCTCGCATGATAGGAGATATTTAAATGTCGCTTTTGTCTCCGTAAAATCCGAGCGATATTGACATTACGAGACAATGATACTCGACAAGAATGATACTCACGTTTTTTCTCTTTTTTTAGTTAAAGAGGTTGTCAGGCTCAGTATCGTATTTTCAGCGACAGCCACTCATAAACTTAATATTTATCGAGCAAAATTGCGTTTCTATATATTTATCTTACTGCCTAAATAATAAATGTTAATTTGAAACGAAGTTGAGATAAACATATGTACAAATTATTATAAATAAGAAAATATTATTTTTTATTTTTCCTATTGATGCTATATTTATACATCAGTCGATCTAATAGAAATGTACAAATAATAAGAAGAGATATATAAATGTTTAAATATTTGCATATATACGTGTATTTCGATTTATTATTATAAATTATGAATTTGACACTGTTATATTTTCAAAACAAAAGTTAATCAATATAATAATAATAATAAACAATAGTCAATATTTATGAAATTTATATGTAGGGGAGACCGGGACCAGAAGTCACACTTTTTACGCTCGAATTAAAATTTAAAAAATATATTATATTTCATAATATCGTGTACATTTTTATGTAGCTGCAACTTTTCGCTTAAAAAAGAAATAATAGCCTTATATATATTCATACATAAAAAAGTTATTAAGTTCAAAACAACATCATATAAATTGGATAACTCACCTCATATCCCGGTTTAGCTGTCACATTCCTTTATAAAAAAAAAAAAACGGGATTTACACATTTTTTTTCAACATTTTTTAAAATATATTATTAAAGTGAATACCATATAATACAAATAATATCATGTAGTCCAAGTTTTAGTTGCAGTTTTACTTTTATCTATTTTTACGTCACGCTTTCGAACCATAATAACCAAAAAAATAACTAAAATCTACCTAAAACTTTTACATCTATAAACATAATTTTTTAATCTAACTGGATAACTTAATTCTAACAAGATTTGATGATCTATGCATATGCTTCCGTGCACATACGTAAGTTTTGTCACAGCCATCTCATTTGAGCCAATTTATCCCGAACAAAATTTTGAATAGAAGAAATTATATTTCTAAACAATGTTGCATTAACGGTTAACTAACTACAAGAAAAATTATCTAAATTATAATATTTATTATAAATACAGAGAAGTTGCGACCAATAATTTCAATAGTAACGGAACAATCAAAATAGAGACAGGAAAAAATGTACTCACTAATTGGAATAAAAATCGGACTAACGTCCAATTTTAAAAATAGTGTTCATAAGTACCACATGCAAGGCGTTAGCTATGAATTATTTTGTACACCCAACTAACACAATATCATCAACCTACATTGTAGAGGACAACATGCTTCTTTATTTATTTACCGAGATATAAGCTTTGTGACAACAACCCGTGCGAATTCTGGCCCCAGTTTCTTAATGTATGTATATTTGTGTTCAATATTATAGTTGTTTTCCGTCAAAATTTTATTTCTTGTTTAAAATATATTAAAAATAGAAATTAAAAATAGCACACTGATCACAAGGAACACTTATAAAAAATGTCAACTTTAGCCGCAAATACCTCATTTCTCGAACGGTCAAACTTTCTCTAATTGCACGAGCAATTAGATAACATTTCAACGTATACGTAGTGCAAGTTTCATTGAATTTTTAAATCAAATTCATACCGCTTTACACCCTCTATAACTGTCCGTTAGCTATTTTTTTTATTTGTGTGTAATCGTATAATTTTGCATCGTCTAATCTGTCCATAGGAGCGGTGTGATAGTTTCTGGTGGGATCTTAGCGTGGATACTGCATCAGAAGTTCCAGAAGACTTCTTAGAAAATGTAATTCCTAAGTGTATGACCTGCGACTGTATGACTGTAAATATCTCTAGAGTAACATAAGAGATCCAGACCTGTATGTGTGAGAGTTGGGATGAAACACAAAAAACTGTAAAAAAAAGTTTATAACAATAGAAACGATATGAAATTCTAGCCTCTTCGTGATCCATCTCTTGTCAACTTAAAGCCGCAGGCAAGGTCCCAGCGCGAAAAATGCCTCAGCGTTGACGAAGGAATCCGTCGTTAAAATTAACGACGGATCGACGGTTCCAGGAGTACCGCCCTACGCGTGCGAGACGTCACGTCCCGACGCAGGTAACTCGCGCGCACCCTGTAAAATTAGGCGTGCGGAACGTAGGGACGGCACACGGTGGTAGTCCGCGTTGCAGAAACGACAGGCGTTTTACGCTCCGCCGCAATGCCTGTCGCCATTCTGTTTAAATTTAAGATTCAGCTCGCGGGCGAAATCTTCGCGGGAGTTGTTATTATTATGACTCGCGCGCGAGCTCGGCTCGGCTGTTCTAAGTCGGCCAGACTCGAAGCTCGCTTTTCGTGGCCTAGCAGGAAGTGCTCTCCGCGCTCGCTTGCCAAAGAGACCGTTCTCTCCTCCCTCGAAAAATCCAATTATCCCCACCTCGCGAGATCGCGAGCCGTCGATCGCCACGCACGTCCATCCGTCATATATCATCTTTCTCTACTTGCTCCGCTCCTCTCTTCTTCCTTTCGTCGGCCTCTTCCCTTTCGTCACGGCCCGTCCATCCCGAATAATCATATACGCCACGCTATGCGTCACGCTTAAATTCCGCACGCGTTCTCCGTTCGCCGGCCGGCGAAAGCGACACTTTCCTCGGGCGAGGCGCGCCGCGTTATAAGCGCGATGAAACAACGACGGGCAGCTTTGAATGCCGCCTGTAAAATTCGCACCTCGGAGTTCAAGTCCGTGAGAGCCTGAAGAGAGAGAAAAGAACGAGATCTTCTCGCTTTCGGTGTCATCGAAAATCTCACGAGTCGTATCTTTCCTTCGGTTTCACGCCCGAAGGTGGGAACAGAAACATACGGTAAGTATGACGAATACATTTTACTCCGGTCGTCATGGCTTTATTACCGTCTACGTTCGCATTTATACACCATGTAGCGCCATCAGACGATTTGTAACTTTCGGTCGAAGCGCTCCCCCGTACTTATCTCGTTCCCGAGGAGGAGGAAGAAGAAGCCCGGCGCGTTCCGCGATATCTCGCCGAAGTTTTCTCTGGCCACTACCCAAGGCCAAAGCACTCGAAATAATGCAGTAGCAATTCGTGTGGGCGTGCGGCCGGACAGTCAGCTTGGTCGCTCGCGCTGGTGTCCGATGGCAGGTGGACTCTGGCGAATTGGACCCTTTGCCTCGTACCCTCCGCAGAAGAGACGAGGTAAAGGTCGGCCGCGTGGGCTTGCACCCAGGGCTATGGAATTGGGTTAATCAAACTGCGAAGTTTCCGCAGACGCTAATCCATTTACTTTGTCGAAGTAAGTAAGTTAGTTCGTTCGTTCGTTCTTCGCGTCGATTGCGACGCGTTCGCGCGCAAGCCTGCCTCGCACTGATGCGCCGCAATCATACTTGACCCGAACTCTCAAAGTCTCCGACGAGGATCAGCGAATGATGAAATGAGATTGCTCGTGCGAAACCGCCGGATGTCTTTTCCGCACGTGGATTCGTCGCGGGAGCGATTTTGCCCCACTGAAAGCTCAGCGGAAGATCATCCGCTTTCGTTCTGAGACTTTGATACTTGACATTTTAGACGGAGTGTCGCGTTGAATTTCAAAAACGCGTTCTTTGAGTTCTTATCCGTTTTCTAAGCGGAGTGTGTTAATATCAGACAGTAACTAGATGGGGTGTCCAGGAAAGCTACATACATGTCTACCAGATTAATTTTGATTGATAAATACTAAATTGATGAGTGGCCCCTTCGATGCGTTACTTAAAACACGGCACTCTGCGATACAATTGTCTTCATTTGCGGGCGATCTTTCCGTGATGAAAAATGCAGGCTCTCCTCTTCATCGTTCTCTAATATTAGACGTTTGATAGCTAGACCTGGGCTACGTGAGAGACGTGCAAGGGTGCGCTGATGAAACGCTTGGCATAATTAATGAAATTCGATTCAATTTGATATTCTTGTTCATCGGACTCAATATCGTCTAGCAATGTAACAAGTCGGCAAAATCGCATTGAGATGTCAGTCTCCCGCGATCGCACAGGTGCAATCCTGGCGAGCGGTCAACGTGCACAAATACAGAAAGTATAATATCTACGTGGGCGGACGACATTTTTCAAACTTATAAAACGGTGCTCAGATCAGCATGCAAATACGTCTGGCAGTCGTATGCGTCGCACATGTACGCGCACGCCGACGCGTATCCATCGGGAAGTTAAAGTCCTCCTAAAAGACGAGTTCGTAATTTTCGACACGCGGCGAGACGCGAATCTACGGTCACGTATCATCGTAGAAACATATCTCGTGAAATTTATTTCGTTGTTGCGATCCTTCCTCGTGTCCCTATACATTGTCGATCAATTTTAACGGCCAGGTACGGCGGGAACTTCCGTCCTCCACGGAATGCCATCTTGCTTCCAACGAGAGATATTGGATCGCGATAAAACAAATGACGGAGTAAAAATGTAAAAACCGATGCGAAAACGAAATAAGCGAACAAGCCCGTCTCGGTGCATTTTCGAATCGTCCATTTTCTCGATTGAACACTGAAGGTCTTCGCCGACTTTAACTGCGGAATCATGAATCTAACGGCGAGACTTATCTTCGGGTTGGTTGCAAAGCGATGTATTTTAACAGAGTCTCAATCTGTCGCGATATTCAACGCCGAAAAGTGGAATAGCTCATCGAGGAGGTACCACATATTTGAAATAAAAGAAGACAAAGCGGGGACACCTCGCGCAAAACGATCCGCCCGACTATACCAAAATGCGGGACGACGGCGTATCAACATTCGAAGTGGGACAAAGCCGCGAGTATTAATGGAATTTCCCTGAAAATTGGCCGCTGCCCGACAATGTCGACTCCACTGAGAGAGTGGCGCGAGTCCGTTCTCTTCAAGTACCAACCTCCCTCTATCTCCCCTCATCTTCGTTGAACTCGCGCGAGTGTGAGTCTCTCTTTCTCTCTCTCTCTCTCTCTCTCCTTCTTTCTCTTTCTCTTGCTCTCTCATGACGAGCTCGTTACTGCTCGCTCGCCGCCCGTAAAATCGTATCTCGTGACTGCCAGAAATATGCTCTGCGAAGCCACCTATCCGTTCGCCTTCACCTATCGGTCCGGTGCCGCTTCCCCAGGACGACGAGGAATCGCCCAGCACCGGTGGAGACGATTGAAAATACTCCGTCGCGGGCTTCTCTCGTCGACGAATTTCGAAATCCTCGCCTCGCCGATGCGGCATCGCGCCGCCTGGCATGGCTTAGCACCTGTCGCACCGTCGCCGACGACAGTGGAAATAGCCGTTGTACACAGACCGAGGAGAAGCGGAGCCGCGCGCAACCACACCGAGAGGAACGCGAAGGAGCGTGGGCGCGCTGAGATATTCTCACCGTTTGCCTTAACGGTTCGAGAAAAAGGGGGAGGAAACTTGCCTTTTGCGAATTAATTTTCCCTCCCTCGCTCCCCGTTTCCCACATATTTTCGTGAGTGAAGTTCTAAAAAAATCCAAGTGGAGATGTCTGTTGAGCGCGCGCGAAAAAATATGGAAAACGCCGTCGGCGTTGGTTCGCCAATGATTTCACCATCGCGTTTTGGATCGTTAATATTTTCAAGACGCGCGAGTTCTGCCGAAAACGTTCCCGGGGCGAGGTAATCAACAGCGGCAATCAACACCGACTCGGTGGACCTCCTTTATACAAAAGCTGCCCATCTATGCTCGCCGCTCTGTCTGTTTATTTTCAAACTGCTTGTTATATAATCCGATTACTGCCTACTGCTGGTGTTTGAGTTTAGAAAACTAAACAGAGACGCGCAACAGCGAGAGCTCGAGTTCTCGGTGTCAAACAAACGACGATGAAAATTCTGCGGGAAGGACATAAAATTGATCCCATGCCCCGGTCGGACCACACCGAGGTCCACATGGACAGTCCCGACAGAGGCTCTCTAAGACTATTTCGGTCCATAAGCTGAATCGCGGAAATAGCCTAGCCTAGCCCCTGGCCTAGAGCGTAGGCTTAACCGATCGTAATAATGGTTTTCTCAAGGATCCCTTGCAAAGTGATCACGTTCTCCTCATAATCGAGAGCGTGACAGAAGGTGCTTTGTCTACGTGCCGAAAAAGCGAGACTATATTTCCGGAACGGTACTTTGAAAAAAAAAGGTATGTTAAAGTAACCAAGAAAAGTATACAGCTGTGAAGAGAAGAGAAGAGAATGACCGAAGTCATCGTGTCATTCAGTATATTTCAGGAAATCTAGATACTTCTTATATAGATTTTACGAACAGGGAAATCGGCTGCGAGGTGCCGAGTTTAATCATTTTCCAGTCGTATAAAAGCGTGTGTAGAGAATATTTTTCATCGTAGTCTCTGGTGGAAATCAAAATTTTGTCTTGGAAAAATCAAGGAATGATTTATCTCGAAATGCACCCAGGTTCACATATTCGATGAAAAATACGGCCGAAATTATGTTGAAGTCAATATTTGTAACATTCCATCACGATATCACTTGGATATGAGAATTTGACTTGGATATACTTGACTTGGATACCGACTGGGTACCGACCAGATCGTCAATAATTGGACATGTATATGACGTCTCCTACATATCACAAATAGCTAGATATCGATTACACATTGACATGATATTATTAAAATGTCATGCGAATTTGTCGTCAATGTAAGGTCGATTCTCCTTTGCAAAATCTAGCAGTTATTAAATCGAATAGTCTAAAAAATCAATCATCGACTTGTAAATTCGAGCATGGAGAAAATATTGTAGTAAACATTACTACAAAAATTTGTAATACTGGATTATACCGGAATTATTATCGAAATTATTATGTGTGTTGCAATCTTCAGTGGTGTACGTATCATATATGTTGCTAAAGATTACACACATATCGTAATTTCAGTCATAATTCCGATATGGCCCAACATTACAAAATTTTGTGGTAATTTTTACTGCA